TTTTTTGTAGCTTCGGTGATAATAAGACGAGGACAGACGTAACGAGGCGAGAAGGAATAAATAAAGACGACAGAGACGAACCGGGTCAGAACAGAACAGAACATTTAAACATCACGTCTGAGTACAAAACCAACATTAATGCAATCAGAGGAGGGACAGTCTGACCAGGTCCTGGTCCGTCCACAGGAAGTGTCCCCTTCACATGTATACGTCCGCTAAATACGAGTTCCCGCCCGTTGCCGTGGCGACGAAGGATTATGTACATCTTGACCACAGCCAGCGCGACGCAGCTCAGAGTCCAGAGATATTTACACCACAGAGACGAGACACGACAGAGACCCGAAGGAGCTGCTCAGAACAAAACCCGACGGGTTAAAACGAGAAGCAGCTTTTACTGTGAAGGAGACAGGAAGAGACAGAAAAGCTCCGTCCTGTGGCGACGGACGGAAAAGCTCCAGTGGAAGGCGTTTGTCTGGTTTGTCCACAGAAAGATAATAAATAAGCTTTTCTCAAAGTAGTCGGACGTATTTACACACAAGAGCTGAAGACGAATGAAAAACAGTCCAGGAAACGTTTTAGTCTGACACGAGACAGGAAGTCGGTCCGGAGCTGCAGCGGTTCATCACTCAGAGGTTCAGCTGATCTGAGTCACTGTTCACAGAGAAGAGGGCTCAGCTCTCTGATTTCAGCTTCTCAAATGGGAAGTTTTCAGGTTTCTTGGGTTTGTTTTGGTGTCGTTTCATTTAACCTTTTTTTTTTCTAAGTCAAACGTGATTCAGATTCCTCCTGAAGCGGAATCAGAGACGAAGCGGAGCTTCAGACGGCGGCGTTGGAGGGTGGATGAACCAGAGACAGATGAACAGGTGTAGCCCAGGCGTGGCCCAGGTGTAGCCCAGGTGTAGCCCGGGTGTGGCCCAGGCGTGGCCAGGTGTAGCCCAGGTGTAGCCCAGGTGTAGCCCAGGCACAACCTGGGTGTGGCCCAGGTGTAGCCCAGGCGTGGCCCAGGTGTGGCCCAGGTGTGGCCCAGGTGTAGCCCAGGTGTAGCCCAGGCACAACCCGGGTGTGGCCCAGGGGTGGCCCAGGTATAACCCAGGTGTGGCCCAGGTATAACCCAGGTGTGGCCCAGGTATAACCCGGGTGTAGCCCAGGTGTAACCCGGGTGTGGCCCAGGTATAACCCGGGTGTAGCCCAGGTATAACCCAGGTGTGGCCCAGGTATAACCCAGGTGTAGNCTGCAGATACAGAACCAGATGTTCTGAGGAGGGTTTTTTAAGTGGAGTTCGGCTGCAGTGGCGCTGGCCGGCCACCAGGTGGAGCTACAGTCTCTGTAGTTGGACTCCACGTGATGAAGACATTCGTTGGTCTTCGTCTCTGGATCCCAGCGAGCTCTCGTCATCTTTACAAACTAGTTTTTCTGTCAGACTGAAGAGTGAAACGTGATGAACGGCCGGCTGGAAGTTAAGAACTCCAGAAAAATGTGGAGTTCAGGAGGAGCCAGAAGCTCCGGAGGTCACATGGAGGCCAGCAGAGAACACAGAGCCTCATGGGAACCGAAGTGAGAACGC